TACCAGACTCAGAATACACTTTATTGTTTATTTTATTATTTATTTATTTTTGTTTTTTGAGACAGGCTCTGGGTATGTAGGTCAGGCTGGCCTTGAACTCACTTTGTAGCACAGGTTGGCTTCGAACTTTCAATGATCTTCCTGCCTCAGCCTCCTCAGTGCTGGGATTACAGGGATGCACTGCTACACCTGGCTTCAGAATACACTTTAGATTCGTGGCTGTCTGAGCATGTTCCTCCAAAATGGTACTTTTTTCCTTTTTTTTTTTTTTTTTGGTTATTTTTTGCAATACTGGGGATTAAACTCAGAGCTTTTTGCATGGACCTACATTCCAAGCCTCTTATTTATTTATTTATTTTTAAGACCGGGTTTCACTAAGTTGATAAGTTATCCAGGCTGGGCTTGAACTTGTGACCCTCCTTCCTCAGTGTCCCAGAGTACTGGGATTGCAGGTATGTGTCAGTATACCCAGCCCCATGTTTTTTTAAGAATTTATTCAGGTTGGGCTGGCGGTGTATTGTAGGAGTACAGCATGTGCTTAGCAAGTGAGGTGCCCTGGGTTTGAGCCCAAGGACCATAAACAATAATAAAAATAAGTATCAAGGTCATTCTTGGACATGACTGTTCTTAAGCTGATGACTTTTGCAAAGATGGTAGAGGAAGGCAAGACCCGAAGGAAAGGGAGCCATAGAGATTTCCTGTTAAAGGGTCCTTCCCTGTAGCCGGCCCTCCATTGTTGAGGCCACTCCAAAAGGAGTGGGGTAGGCTCAGCTATCTCCAGACTCACAAAGGGGTTACTGAGCTATCCAGCTCCTGCCTCCAAGTAGTGACGAGACTGTGGAGACAAACTAGTGTTTTCCTCCCTCCTGTCTTGGGACCAGGAAAGCAGGGTCAGGAGCATTGGCACAGATCTCAGTCTCAAATGCCAGGCCTATCTCATTCCCAGCCCCAAATGCAACAGGCCGTGGGCTCTAGCAATCTGTAAACCAGGACAAACCCGTGCCCACCTCCTCACAGGGTGGCTGACAGGAGGATGTGCTATGATGGGAATCAGGGCTTTCCTCAATTACCATACAGGCACCTTCTTCATGGCCATTCCTAACCATTTGCAGAGCTGACCCAAGTTTGTTCATTTCGGGAAACAAAGTCATGCAATTCTGCCAAAGAGAAATGGCTCTCCTAAGTCACCCCAAAGTGAGGACCCCCACAAAGAATCCCTGATGAGAGTGCAGGTTTCTTTTTTTTGTACCAGGGATTGAACTCAGGTCCCTGTGCTTGTGAGGCAGGCACTGGAACCACTGAGCTAAATCCCCGGCAAGAGTGCAGATTTCTAGGGCTCTGCTCTCCATTCAGGCCGAGGAATCTGTTTTTAACCAAGGCCCCAAGGAATCTTGATTCTACAATCGAGTGTTCAGGGGGCAAATGGCATCTGGGACCAGGAAGAGAAACAAAGGAGATAACAACTCTCCAAAGGCCAGCTGGTGGGGGTGGACCCAGGAGTCAAGGGAGGGAGCAGGCCTTGGCCTACATCTGGCCCAACTCCAACTTCTGTGATAAGGAAATTGTGGCCCAGAATGCAAGGAGCCCGGGTCACCCAGGGCACCTCCTGCAACTGTGTATTGAGGGTTCTGCACCTGCCAGGACGACTCCCCTCCTGGGGGCAGGTCACCCCCCTCTGAGCCCGCATGTTGTCTAGGGAGAGGTTTGAGGTTAGTAGTCCTTTCCAGACTCCTCCTCTTAGGCTTCTCTGTCCAGAGATCCCATCTGTAATTTCCACTGGACCAAAGAGAAGTGTGACTTTTCTCCCAAGAGGAAAGACCAAGCCTCTTCCAGGCCTTCAGAACCTTGGGCTCAGGAGGTCCAGAGCCTGGGCCTTCTAACCTAGGCAGCCAGGTGAGCACTCTGGAGACTGAGGCCTTGACTCACCCACCCTGGGTGCTTTCCAGCACAGTCTTCCCAGCAGGTTCAGCCAAGGAAGCCAGGGAGCTTGGGCAGTCCACATACCTGTTACCAGGCTGGCAGGGAGTCCTGGACAGGACCCAAGGAACACCCAGGTGGACCCCAGAAGTGCGATGAGACAGCACCTATTCCCTCACCTTCCTTTTCATTTCATGGCACCAATGAGACTCAACCATTTTAACAAACATGTTTATTAGAAAAGTAAAAAATATTGCATAGGTCTTAATACTTGAACATCAAGTGTATTTATGAACAGTGAGTATCTTCATGTAAACAACAGTTCTAAATGGAAGACCCAGATGGCACTCCTTTGGGGAAGGGGTTCCAGCCCCCAGCCCCACTCAGCCCCACCCCTCACAGTTCAGTTCTCTGGGATGTGGTAGGGGACAGGTTTGGATTGGATGCAGCTCCCAGGTGTGTTTTATCTTCAAGTGTCAAAGATCCCAAGGGATCCTAACACCCACCCCTCTCAACTCTTACATTCATGCGTCTGTAAGATAGCTGCCTAGAACAGGTCAGTAGTGAAGCTCTGATCAGAAAAACAAGATACAAAATAAACAACAAACACACTTGGTCCCTCCAGACCTGGATACACAAACTGCCTCTAGGACCTCCCCCCTCCCTCCTGGCGGCTACCAGAAGCACACACCCCTGGCTGAGGCCAGCGCAGCCCAGCAGCCCTCCTAGCTGCCACCCCACTGTCGTAACTGTCAGGGATAATAAAAATAATACGGTACATGCTACATACACATCCAGCCAGAAGCCTGGGGGCCCCTAAGCCTTTGTTTCATGCTACAGTACTGAGGGGCATGCGCCCAACAGGGACCCACCTGCACACAACTCAGTGAGCTTCCTAGGAAACACTACACTCCCCCACTGCGACCTCCTCCTTTGGGGGCTATTGTCAGTTTTCTAACACAGGCATCAGTCCCCTCGGCCCTGCCTGCTAAGTCTCCACTCTAAAAGTTCACTGTCTGCCTTGGGGGTAGTGCGACACCCCCCCCCCCCAGGCTGGAGCTCAACACTCCTCAATGAGCAGCTGCTCCGAGCTGTACAGCTTCTTCTTGATGACTCTGAAACCGGTGCTTAACGTTAGGGACTGGCTGAAGCCAGGGACGAAGGGAGAGTTGGCCGAGCTGAACAGCCCCTGGATCTTCGGCCACAGGCGAGAGTCCAGGCGCAGCACCAAGGTGAGCTGGAAGGTGGGCACCAGGCTGGGGTCGAGGGCCAGCTGGCCCACAGTGTGGCAGCTCTTGCCCTGCTCCACGCAGACGTCGAGCAGTGCCCCCCGCAGGCCGCACGGCTCGCTGTACGCCAGGCGTAGCAGTTCTTTGCCCACCTGGCTCACCAGCTGGGCTGGCATCAGCAGGCGCGCGGGTCGACGAGAGCCCAGTCGCGCCTGGGACAGGCTCTCCTGGAGCAGCTGCATAAGGCTGGCACACAGGTGCTCATCCTCGGGGTCGCTGAGCAGCTCGAAGTCGGGCAGGGACACCCCATCCAAGCAGGCCGAGTCTGGAAGGACAGCACATGGGGAGGGTATTAGAGCAGGCTTCACAGGGGATCTACAGGCGGGGGAGGTGCTGTGTGCTAAGAAAGCAACGCTCCTTCCCGTTCCGTACCTCAGTTTCCACCCCCTCGCCCCCTGGCAATCTGGGACCTGTTGTGACAGAAAGCCAAATGGCTGGACCTTTTCTAGCACAGTGCTTCCTCGCCTCCTTGACCCCTGGAGCCGCTTTCGGATGCTGTCCACAGCCCTCACCTTCCTCCTGCCCGAAGCCGCTGTTGCTGCTGTCCAGGGACTCGCAGTCCGAGCTCTCCAAGCTCGCGCAGCGGTCCAGCCCTTCCTCTCGGGCCGCCGACCCCCAGGCCGAGCGCGGCGGCCGATCCGGGGTGGGCTTTCGGGGTGAAGACGAAGAGGAGGCCGACGAGAAGCGGTCCCAAAGGTTAGGCATGGTGAGGTCGGAAGCCAGGATGTTCGTTGATGAGCTCAAGGGTGCCGAATCGCAGAAGCTGCTGAAAGACAAGAGGGACGGAGACCCAACGTCAGTCTAGAGGGTGGACAAGACTGCGAGCGCTAGGACCCGTACAGCCGAGGCCGCCCCACGCAGAGATCAGCAAGCAACCAAGGGACACTCACCAGCTAGGGCGGTCAGCGAGAACTGCTGGGACAAGTGAGTCCTGCCGCTTGAATAGGTGTGCGAACTGGTGCCAACCCACCGAGCTCTGCCCAGACCTGTTCCTTTTAGCCTCTCGCACCTCCCCCTTGGCCTGCTGCGATCTCTAGCACCAGCTCACGGCAGCCTATAAGGACTAGTGCGCCGAGGCCACGCCCTCCCTGCCCCCGGGCCCAATCCAGACGCAGGAGTGTGGCCCACCTCGACCAATGAGTTCCAAGCGCACGTTCGCAACGTTCTCTCCTGCCCGGTGACAGCGGCCCGGCCCCGCCCCCAAGGAGCCCCAGAACTCTCTCGGCCGAACCCCGAGCCGCAGCCACGCCCCCTTTCTGGAAGGGATCGGTGGCGGCTGCAGCTGCCAAGGTCCCCGAGGGCTC